CTGCTCACAGCTACTGGCTGCTCTATGGCTACCCAGGAAACTGGCTATCATCCATTGCCCTGGGCACCAAAGACAGATATGCCTATAGCCTGAGGAAACCAGAAGGCAGACCAGGTTGCCAAGGAGATGGCCCTGAAAGCAACCTTAGCCCTGGTTATCCATCTGCCGAACCTAGGGCCAACCATGCTACCAGACCAACTTGATTATTCTCAGGAAGACCTGAGGCTGATACACAAACTTCCCATGACCCAAAAGATTGATTCCTGATGGCATACAGGGGACTGCAGGATTATCCTGCCAAGTAACCTAGCCAAAGATCTTTTCAATCACATCCATCAGTGCACCCACCTGGGCACTCGAAAGACAGAAAACCTCCTGAGAAACGCTAATCTCAAGATTCTGAATCTCCCATTACATGTCATTTCAATCACCTCCAAATGTCTTAGCTGTAGGCTGACGAATACTGAAAACCTTCACAAAGAACAGGGGATCCAGTTGAGGGGCCCCCAGCCTAGAGCCCACTAGGAAATGGACTTTACAGAGATAAAACCTGGTAAATATGGTTACAAATATCTTTTAGTTTTGGTAGATACTTTTTCAGGATGGACTGAGGCAAGCTCTACCAAGCATGAGACTGCACAAATTGTCACCAAGCGGCTACTGGAAGACATTCTTCCAAGTTACGGTATGCTGGCTCTTCTGAGCTCAGACAACAGACCAGCATTCGCCTCTCAGGTAACACAAGAGTTGGCAAAAATATTGGGGGCAAAATGGAAATTACATTTTGTCTACCAGCCCCAGAGTTCTGGACAGGTAGAGAGGATGAATAGAATCCTAAAAGAGACCCTAACTAAATTAACCATGAAGATTGGCAGGGACTGGGTGGCTCTCTTTCCCTTTGCTCCATATAGGGTATGAAACTCACCCTATCTGTTGGGTTTAACTCCATATGAAATCGTGTTTGGAAGACCCTCTCCCATCCTTCCCAATATAAAATCTGAATTGCTTGCTCTTTGATAACTTTCAATTGCTTGATTCTCTTGAGGCTGTAGCACACACCTACACGGATGTGTGGCCCCACCTGAAAGCTATCTATGAGTCTGCTCCTCCTCCTCCTACCCCACATAACTACCGGCCTGGCAATTGGGTCTATGTCCACAGACACCACCGAGAGACCCTGGAACCTCGCTGGAAAGGACCATACATGGTGCTCCTCACAACCCTGACTGCAGTAAAGGTAGATGGAGTTGCCACCTAGATTCAACACACCCACATCCAACTAGCGAATCCACACCCAGACCCAGACGACCTTCGCCCTCCACCGACCTCTATGGATCCTACAACATGGAAGGTCCACAAGGACATGGACAATCCCCTCAAGCTAAGGCTGTGCTGCTCTTGATGTTCACTCTGCTGCTTGGAATGGATGTATGTATAACTGCTAACCCTCACCAACTCTACAATCTCACCTGGCAGCTCATGGACACTTCAACTGGAGACATCCTGGTCCAGACGTCCAAGACAGCCTCACTAAACCCCTGGTACCCAGATTTAGGCTTTGAACTCTGCCGCTTACTCCCTGAACAGGACCATTGGGGGCTGCGTCATGCTTATTTTTATGTCTGTCCTGGGAACAGGGGAAGAGACTGGAGAAAAGTATGTGGGGTAGCCAGCAATTATTTTTGTAAGTCCTGGGATTGTGTGAGCATGGGGGACGTCTATAGGACAGCCCCCATTAAAGATGATCTTATCAAGGTGGTCCATAATAACACACCTGATATAATTTGCCACAGCCAGAGGGTTGAAACATATTCTATGAAAACAGTCTGCAACCCTGTTGAGGTGGTGTTTACTGATGCAGGAAAAAGAGACACCACTTGGGAGGTGGGGAAAACTTGGGGATTGGGAATTTATGACTTTAGCCAGAGGGGGGAGCTTTTCACTACCATCCTCAGAAAAGAAACCCCCACTTCTCTGATACCCCAAAGTGTTGGCCCCAATCTAGTCTTAGTTCCCCTAAAACCCAACTCCAGCCCTAAATCCAACTCCAGCCCTAAGCACCTGCTGCCAAGGGAAAATACAACAGTCTTTGGGGGGAAAGCAGTAACTGCAGGGGCACCAGCAGCTCCACCCCTGGCCACCCTATTTGGCTGCTGGTTACCACCACTTTCGAGGTGCTCAATGCCTCCAAGACAAACCTAACTGTGGAGTGCTGGCTCTGTTTGAGTGCCCAGCCACCCTTCTATACAGGCATAACTGTAATAGGTAACTACTCCCAAGTTGCTAGTAACCAATGCTCCTGGGGATAGCAAGGAAAACTTTCTCTCCAACAGGTAACTGGGGCAGGGACCTGTGCCCTGTTCCCTGGTGTCCAGGCCCCAACAGGCCTATGTAACAACACAGTCTCTGTTTCAAATGATACCTATTACTCTGCCACTTCTGGATGGTGGGCTTGCTCTACTGGTTTGACTCCCTGCATTTACGGAACCATCCTTAACAACACAAAAGATTACTGTGTCATGGTACAGCTATTCCCCAAGATGACTTACTATGAGGAGACCCAGATGGAACTAGCCTACTCACCCCTTTCCTCCCCCAGAACTAAGAGCACCATAGGGACAGCAGCCATTTTGTTATCCTCCTTAATTGGACTAGGTATAGCTGGAGTGACTGGAGTGGGTACCTTGGCCTTAATTTTACAGAACCAAAACTACAAGGCTTTCCAGATAGCAATTGATGCAGATCTCAAGAGTCTGGAACACTCTGTAACTAAATTAGAACAATCCCTAAACTCATTAGCTGAGGTCAACTTACAGAATAGAAGAGGTCTTGACCTCCTTCTTATGCAACAAGGGGGCTTGTGTGCAGCCCTAAAAGAAAAAGGTTGCTTTTATGGTAACCACTCTGGGGTGATTAGAGATTCTATGGTTCTGTTCAGGAAAAGTATCAGGGATAGAGAACAAAAGGACCCTGGATGGTATGAGCAACTGTTTAATTGGTCTCCCTGGCTCACCACCTTAATCTCTGCCTTAACTGGACCTACAGTCCTCCTTCTGTTAATAATAACTATTGGGCCATGTATCATCAATTGGCTGGTTGCCTTCATTAAAAAATGAGTGAGTACAGTACAACTCATGGTCCTGAGGTCCCAGTATCAGCCCTTAGAACCCCTTATTAGGGGCCCCAACCTAGACCCATGATTGGGTCTTCTCTAAATTACAAGGAGAGGGGGGAAATGTGAAACCCTCCTCTGTGGCCCCCTGCCCTGGACTCCTGAGACCCCTGCCCC